CCCCCGTTTTTGATCCCATTCCCCACTCCACCCCCACAGAATGTCTCTGGTATATGGTTGTTCCTAATGTCCTTTTTAACTCAAAATGGGATCTGGATTCCTGAATAACTTCAGATAAGCTTGGCAGTGAACCTCAAGTCCTGAGAGCCATTGAGCTACCTGGTCTCTCCAGCTCTTGTATCCTTAAGATTTCTTCAGCTCCTTTCCTCCCAGCACAACCTGCCTCATAAGGGCTAAGATTATACATAAGCCCTGGATGGCAGCAGTACTCAGGTGATCCATTTACCTTGCTGGTTTTTAGAGACTGGTTGGGAACCATGAAATCTAGAAGTGGAAGGTGGCTGCTTTGTCAGTCTCCTTGTTATGCACAGTTGAGAATATCACATTGAGTCACTGCCTTGGGTGGAATTCTAGATCTTTATTTCTTAGCATCTTCTCTGTGTTCCTGCTCTCTCTCTACAGGGTACAGCAAGACCTTCACTGCTGCTCTTGGGAGTGTTGACTCACAGGTGACAAAGGGCATTACTTTTCTCAATCTTGGTAAGCAAAACAGATTCGTCATCTCTCTGATCCTTCCGTCAGTTACAAGGCATGCCCCACCTTACTGTACCTGATTTTCTCTCTGTGCACACCTTTTTCTCATGGCTCTCTGGAACTCGAATTGTGATGACATTCACTGACCTTTTTGAAGCCCAATGGGAAGGTTTTCTCTGGTTATATCTACCTTTTTAGAAAATCTATGGTATGTGCTGTCTTACTGTTTTAGTAGCAATCCTAAAAGCCATTTGTTAGTACAAAAATAATGACAGTGAATGAAGTATTCCTTACAAGCCTATAAAAATAATATATCATTTTGTCCCTTGATTCTAAAAGCTTCCAAGTCCCAAATGTAATTTATAGATCAGATTATGTGAGCTGTTTTTCACTGAGAAAGAGTGGTAAGGGATACTTAAGTATTAGGGTGAGCATATTGAGGGAGTCTGGAAGGAAGAAAATAAAGAAGAGGTTTATTGTATCTCTCTTTTTCCACACTCATAGGCATGTGGGGGCACAAACAAGTTAGCATAAGACTGAAAAACAAAACTGTCATGTTGTTTGCCTACACACAGAACATGACACAATATTTTAAAAAGAAAATCTACTGTCATGGAAAAGTTTTAGGAAGGTTTGTTGTGAGGAAACTGAACAAAGTGAAATCTATAAAGTTCATTAATTTTTTCCTTTTATTTTGAATGCCATTATTGATGAGGTGAGCTATGCTAACTGTGGCAAATTTTAACTTGGGCTCTGAACCTAGGGGAAACTGCCTTGGAGAAGCCTGATTTTACTGCTTCCTGTAGTAAAAGATAAACATAAGGTTTCTTGAGTCTGGGACTTGATTCTTATCAGCAGCCTACTATCAGCATCCCACATCACCAGTGATATGGGAAACTTTCTATTAAAAAAATCCATCCTGTTTTTAAACCCTTGGGAATGACTCTTGAAAAGGGCAGGTGATCTTCAGAGTGTGGCAAAAGAAGTACTAGCACTTTGTAAAAATAGGCCCATGATCATAGTCATTTTCCTTCATAAACATATTTTCTGATAAAGGCACCAAATTGTACCCAAGGTTTAAACTGTTTTAGAGAGTTAATTTTTATAACATTTTTTGAGTGGTGTAGTTTTTTTTTTTTTTTCGCTATTGTTTGCATGCAATTTCCCTTAATTGTCACCCTGTTAAAACAGGCCTATATTAATTGAAATATTAAAGGGTAGTTTTTTTTTCTTGAAATTTTTTATGAAATCCAAACACCTTTTTATAAGGATGATATGTTTATAAATAAAAGCTACCATTTGAAAAATGGGATATTCTATTTACTTATTATTTTGATCTTATAATTCTGCTTGGTGATGCTATCACTTTTACAGATCATTAAACTGAGGCACAGAAAGGCTGAGATGTATGCCTAGACCTCCTTTAAGTGTTTCTTACCAGGGGTGCTTATTTTAAATTCTTGCTGCTGCTTTAACAAATACAACTTCATAACAGCGCAAACATTTTCTTACATTTCACGAGGCCAGAAGTATGAAATTAATCTTGAGGGACTAAAATGAAACATGTCTGGGAATTCCAGGGAAGAATTCATTCTTTGCTTCCTCCAGTACTTAGAGGCCAGCATTTCATGGCTTGTGACCACATCTCTCTTAATTTCTTATATCCTTATATGTCATCAGATTTCCTTCTTATAAAGATATTTATGGTTATGTTTGGATAAACCAAGGGTACTTTTCCATTTCAAGATTCTTAATACATCTTTGAGGTCCCTTTTGTCAATTAAGGTAGCATATTCACAGGATTAGAGCCTGAACATTTTGGGTAACCATCATTTAGTCCACCACAGGTAGTGCTGACATTTTTGGTGAGGTGATAATTTGTGTGTCCATCACACAGAAGGACTAGACATCTCTGTATCCACTTCCCAGTTGGCAATAGGAATCTACCACCATATGCTTGCAATGATGCAGAATACTCTTGCTTATTTTCAAATGTCCCCTCTCTAGAATTAGCTGGCTAGGAGTAGGCATTTGCCTACATTATTTTCTGGCTCAGTGCTTTCCATTGAGTTCAACTATTTTGTTATTCATTTTTAAATTTAATTGTGGTTATAATAGTATTGCAACCATTTGTAATAAGCACTTTAACATCACTCAAGCTATGGTGTTTGAAAAGACACTTACAAGTCAACTGATTAGAATTTTACATCCTTTTTCCTATCCAAAAAAGACCTATATAGATACTAGCATTATTTCTTTTCTTCTTAGGAAAAGCAGTCTCACTCATAACTTAAATATTTCACCTATGGGTTTCTTTGTTTTTCTCAGATCCTAAAAAAAAAAAATTAATGGCAAGAGCTACTTCACCCTGCCATTCCCCAGAGACCTAGTTTTACTCCTTGCCTCAAGTGTGTACAAATGCTCTTACAAAAAAAAAAAAAAAGCTAGTTCAGGGACCATGAAGTTGTAAATTTTAGGCAGCAAGCTAGGCAAGAAATTAAATTAACACTTCACAGTGTCAGAATACTTATAGAGATTGTTTTGATAATTACTTTAAAGTTTATCTAAAAAAGTGATGATGATGGTGACAGTGATGATGAGTATGATGATAAGTAGACAAAGAAAGGAAATTACATTTTAGAGCTTCCCCAAAGTGGCAGAAACTATGAAAGAAATTTCCATAATAAGTTATTGCCCCCCTATTAGGTTAAGTAATAATTCATATTGCTTTTCTGATATTTTTTATTTTCATTTGCCCTCAATAGATCATTTAAATTCAGTCCACTTAGACTCAAAACTACAGCTGTAAGTTAAGATAACCATGGCTAAATATGTGAAAAAGAAAACTAACCACAGACTGAAATAAATTGTACCTGGCTAGTAAGATGAAATGTATTGACATCTTATAGCTTATTACATTATTTGAAATGTTTGCATTTTAGAGGTTCAAAGAAACAAAGGGTCCTGTGACGCTCTGGACTCGATCTGTACTTGGGTAACTCTTACCGTGTGGAGATGACTTAAATCTTTTTCTTTTACAGACTACTATGTGGCTGTTTACTTGCCTGGTCATTTCTTTCATCTGCTTAATATTCAACATCCAGATCTGATCTGCCACAGTCTATTTCTGACAGGTATGGTTGTCGTTTTTTCTTCACCAACTTAGTCCTTTGGGGTTTGATTTGACTTTAATATTTGTTTGGGTAAATGAGAGCTCTTTTTATTTGCTGATCTTCTCTCTTTTTTTTCCAGGAAGCATTGACACGCTACCTCATAGTCCTTTACAGTCACTATCAGGGTCCCTGGTACTGGATTGGTGTTCAGGAAAGCTCTATAGAGCACTCCTCAACCAGTCATATTTAGTGAAGTTCCTATGGAACACGCAGCTAGATTGTGAGAAGATGGCCATGTTGCACTGTGTGCTCTCATGTGGCCAAGATGCACGGTTCCTGGAAGCCAAGGTGGGAATATAACAAAGTTTTAAAATTGGCAAACCACCTATATTTACTTAGTGGTTGAAAATGAACAGAAATTATTTTCTTTTTGTATGCTGCCTTTTTAAGTGATCCCAACCAGATCTCAGACTGTGAAGGAGGTGTATGTGTTCTTTTGAATATTTGCTTTCCTGTATTGTAAATAAGTGTTTAACTATATCAGTAACATGCCAAGGAAATGCTCTACTGAGTGAGATTCTCAAATACCTACTTTCCTCCTGGTCTATTTTTGATGTATATCATCAATAGGTTTAAAATATGGTGAAATGTATTATTACATTTTCAGTAATGATAGCTCATATTTATATTGCATATTATAGTTTACAAAGCACTTTCACACATTTCTTGTCATTTAATTTTTACAGTTTCCCTGTGAAGTCAGAGAAATCTATTTACTAGCCTTGCTTGGGAACACAAGAGCATCTTAAGCAGTTTTTTTTAACTGAAATCATATAAATTTACATTTATTTACCTACCTTTTGATAGAGATTAAGGTTCTTACTTTGTGTAGCAGCTCTCTGAGTCAAATGCTCCACATGGGAGTTATGCTCCCTCCCCCTATATGAGCTAATTGAAGTTCAAAATTAATTGAAGTGCATAAAACCACTATAATATTGTATCTGATTTCTTCTTACTCTCTTTTCCTTATCCCTTACCTTTTTCTCCCCTAAGAGCAGTAATTTCAAAGGAATGTATATATTTTGGGCAATATTTTCTTAATGTGTTATGTTGTCTTGCTGACAAACTGTTAGTGTTTTAGATACATGCTTTTGAGTCTTCCCAAAGATTTCAACTTATAATTGGCCTTTTAGTGACCTACCAACGCTTTTTGTGTCCATGTTTCACTTGTCTATAGTAATATTTTATTAAATTATCTAGTTATGAAAATAAGTATAATTAGCAGAAATGGGAGAGTTCACTATAGCTGGACAAGCCTTACAATTTCCATTAATTCTAATGTAGGGCATGAGGAACTTCATTCACCTAGCAGGTGAGGTTGTTTATGGAGATCACTTGAGAGAAGTTGATATGACAGCGGTTATCTCCTTGGGGAGGACATACAACGATGCTCACAAGGTTAAATGATCTGACAGTGTTTGCAATAGTGAGTGAGCTGGAATTCAGACTCACGTCTGCTGCCTTTAAGCTTAGAGGCTTGGTTTTATTTTCTCCTATATCCCATGGCTCTTCACTATATTATGATTTACTCACTATATTATGATTTACTTACTATATTATATATATATATATAGTATATAGTATAAGTATAGTATATAGTATAGTATTGTATATATTATATATATATTATATATATAGTGATTAGTCGCTATATTATGATTTACTCACTATGTTATGATTACTATATTATGATTTACTCTCATAAAAATAAACAATAAACTTTGGGTGGAAGAATGGCCAAGGGCAATTATTAAAAAGATGAGTAAAGGCCCTCCCTGGTGGCGCAGCAGGTTAAAGCACAGCACTGAGAAGCTAAAGCCACTTCCACATGAGTTCGATTCCCGCCTGCCCCGGAGGTGACCACATGGCGTGGCAGACCTCTCCTGACCTGCCTGCTGCTCCCCTCAGCAGTGTACTTTGTCGATCTGCCTATTCTGTTCTCCACTCTGTCTTTGGTGAAGCCTCTCACCGCCCCTGAGCCTCTGGCCTGTACCCCAGTTCTGTATGCACAAATAAATAAATTTTTAAAAAAATCAGAGTTCTTTAAAAAAAAAAAAGTGAGTAAAAATGACTTCACAGCCTTGCATTATCTATCTTGAAGATAATGTATTATTATCTTCAAATAATGTGTGTTCTTAGATAGTCAACATTAACTGTAGAATGAAGAATTTATATATATATATATATGGTACTCTTGTGCTGGGGCAGGTTGCAGAATTAAATACCAACAGAGTTGTCTTTTTACTTTTTGAAGATTATTCAGTGGATTTCTGAGAACGTCTCTGCCTGCCATTCATTTGACCTTATTCAGGAATTTATAATTGGTAGGTATTGATGATGGCTCATGTTAAGTTGAATCCTTGACCTTTTTGCTTGCGGGAAGGCAGTAAATTGATAATGCCTCAATCTCTGTCAAAATGATGGTTAAGAACTTTTAAAAACTCTGTTTTAGTAGGCAACTAATTAAATTTCAATCTCTTGTGGTTTGGTGAGAAATTGTGGCTGTTCAGAGACTGATGAAATGGAAAAACTAACCATGATTTAAACTTACTAGTAATTTTTTTCAGTAACATGTAACTTTCTTAGCTCATGTTTTGTGTTGATTGGTTTTGTATGAAGTAATATAATGTCATTTGAATAGATTAGTACTAAATTTTCATTGTAAAAAGTGGAATCTAACCATCTTAATCTGTAGATAGAACCATAATAATTAGCCTTTTGAGGGTCTGATTTGCTTTAGTACATTTGTGATATACTAAATCTGCTTTATTCTTCTTAAGAATGTCTTAATTTTATGTCTTTTTTTTTCTTCCAAAAATATCCTCAGCTTCTTCATACTGGCACATATATGCAGAGACGAGTAACATGGATAAACTTTTGCCATATTCCTCAGTCCTTACTTGGAATACAGTAAGTTAACATTTTGTATTACTCATACAATTAAAATTGATTTGCTCTATCCAGCTATCAAATAGAGATGAACTAGTATATCTTGGTGATTATACTAAGTCAAATAAACCAGGAAGTGAAAAGCAATTACTGTATGATTTTGCTCATTTTGGAACTATAAATGACCAAAGTAAACAAACTGACAATGCGTAACAAAAATAACTCTCAGACTCTGAAAAATATGGTGGTTACCAGAGGGGGAGAGGGATGAGAAGGGTAACATGATGGTGTATTGGTCTGGAACTGTGGTGGACAGTGAGCGAAGTACATGCACGTGATAAGGGGCAAAGCTGTAGTCCCCAAGTTAAAAAGTTAATGGCAAATCAGTAAAATTCGATTTAAAAAATTGATTTATGGGCCTTCCCTGGTGGTGCAGTGGGTTAAAGCACTGCACTAAGAAACTTAAGCCACTTCCGCATGAGTTCGATTCCCACCTGCCCTGGAAGAGATCCACATGGCGTGGCAGACCTCTCCTGACCCACCCGCTGCTCCCCTCAGCAGTGTACTTCGTCAATCTGCCTGTTCTGCTCCCCACTCTGTCCCTGGTGAATCCTCTTACCGTCCCCATCTCTGGCCTGTACCCCAGTTCTGTATGAATAAATAAATAAATAAATAAAAATTGATTTATATTTTTGAGTCATTGTAGGATATCTCCATCATGGCAATCAAGGTTGTAATTTCATTTCTGATTTGACTGATAAGGAAATGACTTGGAATTTTCTGACAGAAAAATAATAGTGAATCCTTAGCTATGGGCCAAAGGAAGTGATATCAAACAATAGAGTTGATAATGCAATGGGGTATTTGTTTCTCTTGCTGCTACCAAGCAGACCTATTCTTTTGTCATCTTCAGGTGGTATTTTATTTATTTTTTTAGTGACTGGAATGGCTGGACCACTGTTATAATTCTGAGCTGTTCTATTTGCTCAGCACAGGTCAGATTAGCACCCTATCATCCTTTTCCCAGCCATACAAGAAAAGTAGTAATAACTTCAGAGCATCAAAAATCAGTAAAAGTCATTACTCTTAAGCATACTCACTGCATTCAACCTTTTCTCCTTGGTGTGGACTTTCTCTTTTTTAATTGAAAGTATGGCTGAAACATTGTTCATTTTCTCTTGAACATGTTGCTATAAACTGAGCTTTATTAGATTAACAAGTGAGAGTCATGAATAGGCTGTCCCCCAGAAGGTTCTGCCTCTTCTCCTTTCACACTTACCTGTTGGAACTACACATCTCAGACAGAGATTTATATCAAAAAGGCATTTTGGAAAATGAATTTAATTCAGGAGCATGGGCACAGTAAAATATATAACTGTGACTCTTCCCATTTTGTATGTAGACAACTTAAATGCAGTCTTTATAAAAAGAAGTTTCAGGTATGTTTAATTCCTGAAATTTTGATATACACAGCAGTAGTGTTTTCTCAAAGATTCTTTCTTTTTGTTTCTTACCATTAGTTATTAAACTTTCACACCTCACATGGGTGAATTGGTTGTGGGAAACCCATGGGGATTACAACTGAGATGAAAAAATGCACAAAATGAAGAATGATGTTAAAAAAAAAAAAACTTTTCATGCCTCATTGTAGAATTATGAGAGAGAGACCTGAGCCTGTTCCTCCTTTAAGAACTCGTGTGAATACCACAAGACTGTGGTAACAGGGCAGGAAGTTTGCAGGTTAAACCACTCAGTCAGGAAGTGACCACTCAGTCAGCTTCCTCCCCTCTCTGCCCTGCGCAATGCTTGTTGTTTGGCCCCAGGGTGAATCCAACCCCAGGTTAGTGACCAGAGGCTATGGGACAGGTCCTCTTGTTCCCAGAGGTTTGTTTAAAGATGGCACATGCACTAATGGGTGAGAGTATATCCCAACAGGCAATTCCTCACTTTCTCATTGCTCTTCACTCTGTGGGGCCTGTTGTTGTGGACAGGTGCGGTGATGCCAGGAAACCTGATGGGAAAAACAATATAAAAAGCCCAAATTATGACCACTAGATACTGAGTTTATTTTAGGGTTTACTGTATTACTTGATGCTGCTTGCAGTTGGAGTCTATTACCTTGAAGGTCTCTCTAATCCTGAAATTCTAAGAAGTCTCTGCTTATCTTTAGCAATGATGTAATTCACTTACTTTTCCTATTTCTAATCTGCAGCTGTTCTTAATGCCACACCTTTACCAAACATTACAGAGAACATTAATTTCACACTTCTGTATGGAGCTATATAATTTCTGTAAATACTTGAATTTTTTAGAATACCAAAAAATATGGTTAGTTTGTAAGATACAAGAAAATGTGGTAACACCAAATTGTGGTGTTTAACTAGCCTTATTGTACCTGTTTTAAGATGCTACTTATGACCTAAAACTGAAGTAAATTTTAATACTTTTCTGAAGTGTCCTGTGTTGCCGAGTAGTGACAGGTGAAGTACACAGCAGGTTCTATCACAGACTTCCTGCTGCCGCATTGGAAAATTGGGTGCTGGAATGTTTGGGATATTTTTTTCCCAATCACTTTAATGGCCTTTTCCTGTGGAAAAGAAAAAGATAAATTCTGACCATGCTAGAGGTAAATTCTAAGTAAATATCAGGTTTTATTGTTACATAATACCTTCTCAATTATTTTATTGCCTATCATCTCATTTTAAGGAAATGTAAGATAAATTGACCATTTGAGGGGTGAAAACACAGTTAACATAGAAACATACTTTTCAAAATGGCAGTGAGTAAAGGGCGCTTTGGGATATGGAGCCTTTTTAAATTTCTGTTTCAATGTGCACTAGTTAGGTTTATAGTTTGGACTTCCTGGTAGGAGTTGCACATTGGTCACATTTGTCATAGTACTAGTAGTATATAAGCTCCTGTTTTAAAAGATTAATTTATTTATGAATACAATAACTGGGGTACATGTCAAAGGTGCAGGCCGGGGTAAGAGGATTCACCAGAGACAGATGGGGAGAAGAACAGGCAGATCCACTGAAACACACTGCTGAGAGAAGCAGTGGGTGAGACAGGAGAGGACTGTTGGTCATGTGGGTCACTTCCGGGGCAGGGGATTGAGCTTTTGCTGCAGCGGCTGCAGACAGTTTCATAGTGCTACACTTTAACCAATTGTGCCACCTGGGAGGGCCCTACTGTATAATTCTTTATGAGGATTTCTCATCCCTGAAGTTATGGTGGAGGATGAGGTGCAGAGAAATCTACTACGAAAGTCATACAGGAATCATATTTGCCTTGGTATCTCTAGTGAGGCAGGAGCCAACTATAATACATGTAAAGAAAGTAGAAGGAGCATAAAAAAGTGGACCATATTCTTATTCTTATACTTGCTGGTGCAAATGGTATTTATCTCATTTGTTCTTTAATGAAAATGTGCACATAATACCCCACATGGCATCTGTTTTCTTCATATTAGCTTTCTCCTTCCCTTTAGGGGTCCTGTCAACTATTATAATCACAACTTTAAAGAATATTTCCCTTCCCAAGGGAAGAGATAGGCTGGGCCCACTGTTATTTATATACCCCACGGTTTATTTAAAATAGAAGTTAACAAACTGGAAGCAGCCCTCAGCTTCTGTCTGTGCAAAAAAATACTTCCTGAAGACTTGAGGGTATCGCAGTTGACACATTTACCACTATGCATATTTTTCTCCCCTTTAGGAAATTCCTGGAATAACCCTTGTGACAGAAGAGATTGCATTGCCTCTTATGAAGGTAAGGCCCTTACAGTGAGACAGAGCACAGACACACAAGGCCTCCTTGTCCATCTCCACACTCCACTGAAGTAAAATCTTGCTACCCCTGGTGTTGAGGGATTCTAAAAGATCCATAAATTGTCGGGGGAATGTGGGGGTAAGGGATAAGATTAGTTCTATAGAAAATCCTACCAAGTGGCTGATTAGCCACTAAGAATGATGTTAGAATACTTTTTAAGAATGTCTTTGAAGAGGGAAGTTTTCTGAAGGTGGAGAACTATAGGGCACAGTGAAAACCATATACAACTAGAACTTGCCACTGTGCCTCCAGCCAGCCTGGACTGGAGTTCTTTAGAGGGACTGGTAGCTACTTTGTACTACTTTTGTGCTGCTACCTCCTTAAAACACTCGCACCCACTCATGCTCACACGCTGTCCCTTCTCCCTCCCCCCACTCAAAACCATTAAGTAAACCTGGCTGGGATTATCTAATTTCCTTCTGGTTCTAAGAACAGCTTTTCTGTGCCTCAAGAGTTACCTGCGTTGGCTGTGATCTCAGTCAAGTTTCTGCACACCACCTCCTTCCTGTCCACTAAGCATAGCTATTACTGTCTTTCTACAGTCTGGTGGTTTTAGTAGAGTTTCTGAGTACAATGGGGACAAGGCGGTGGGTGGGGTGAGTAGAAAAGAATATGTATGTAGTTAAACTAGAGTATGTATTAGTGCTGTTTCCTTGAAACTCTTTTCTTGTTTTTGGCACTGCCTCCTGTTAATTACAGCTTGGTGTGTACTGGGAAATCTCAGCTTCAGGCAGCTGGCAGCTCAGTTTGCTGCTGCTTTTGTTTATATTGATTCGTTTGGATCCCAGTTGGGCAGACTGGCCTGGGGGTGGGGAGAGGACTGGGGAAGTGTGGGTGTTTGAGGTCAGGCTGATGCACTGGGGGTGAGACAAGGCCAGCACCTGCAGGTTCGGTGGTTCTGGGTTGTGGTCCAGGGAAGCGTCCTCTAAGGAGACACCGACAAGCAACGTTTCTAGGTGCAAGACCACAGTGAAGCTCTACAAGGGTAGGAAGACAAAGGGGAAATGGTTTGATTAATATTTTTAAAGTTACTTATTAGACACACTGTCTTTTCATTTTTACTGCTTTTGCTCCTATCACCATCTGACCCACAGTGTGTTTACTGCACATGTGATACATTGGTGAAGAAAGTTTCCAACAGAACAGAGAAATGTCACCCACAATTCCACATTTGTTAACACACTGATTGTCTGTTTCTCCACTTTGACTTCCTCTTTGTCACAGGTGTGCCTATTTTACCCAGTAGTGATGAAAATCAAGAGATATTTAATAAAAATTCCAAATTATAATGTAAATATTTTGCAAGTTTCTAATAGAAGCTTCATAATTATGACTTCTGAGGACCCCATAGAATTCTGTTGGCCTTTACTTTTCTCCTTAGTAACTTTGCAAGTCTGCATGCAGGCTGTGGTAATGTGACAGTGGCTGTGTCTAATTTACTGAGTCATTCTTCTGTTTTGGGGCATTAATGTGACTAGTCCCAATTTAAAAAATTGTTTTGCTACTAAAAATAATGTTGCAATGGATGCTTTTATCCGTATGGTTTTTCAAAAACTTATTCCTCAAAGATTACAAACCCACATTTAAACTAGATGGAAAGGTAACAACAATTTTTGTAGTCTTCTATTAATTTTTTTTCATTGAGTAAACATTGCATTATAACATAAGTTTCAGTGCGCATTGTTATAAATAACAGCACATACACTACATTACATTACTTCATTAAATTTACTACTAAAAGTCCAGTTCTATCCATCACATAGAGTTGGCTCCTTTTACTAGATTTCCTGACATCCTTGCCCCCTTCCTTTCTGGTAACCATTAATTTGGTCTTATAGTCTAAAATCTGTTTTATTTAATACATTCATTTATTTTGTTTCTTTCTGTACCACATTTGAGTGATGTGTATGGGGCTTTTTCCACCTGATTTATCCAGTAGATGAACCTCTGTTGCTGCAATTGACCGAATTCCATCTTTTTTTTTTTTCTTTTAGATGAATAGTATTCCATTGTGTATAAATGTCACATCTTCTTAATCCAGTCATCTGTTGATTGGCAGTTTTGTTTTGTTTTTAACTCTTGGCTTTTGTAAATAATGTTGTATTGAACTTAAGGATGCATATATCTCTTTGGTTGGTGTTCTGGAATTCTCCAGGTCAATACTCAGAAGTAGGATAACTGGATCATATGGAATTTCTATTTTTTGAGGAATTTCCATATTGATTTCCATAATAGCTGCAACAATTTACATTCCCACCAACACTATAAAAGGGTTTTGTTCTCTTTGTGTCCTCTCTAACACAAGTATAAGTTTTGTTTCTTATTGCCATATTATATTCAGAAAAAGTTGTGATAATTTACCCTGTTACAAAGGACTTAAGAGTTTATCAGTTTTATTATCTTATCAACATTGCATATTTTTATTAAAAAAATTAAGTATAGGGCTCTCCCTGGTGGCACAACGGGTTAAAGCACAGCATTATGAAGCTCTACAAAGCCACTGCAGCACGAGTTTGATCCCCGGCCAGGGATCCCTAGCCAGGGAGCTGACCCACATGGCGTGGCAGACCTCTCCTGTTTCGCCCACTGCTCCCTTCAGCAGTGTATTTCAGTAGATCTGCCTGTTCTGCTCCCCACTGTGTCTCTGGTGAATCCTGTCATCCACCACACTCTGACCTGTACCCCAGTTCTGTAAGCATAAATAAAATCTTTAAAAAATAAATAAACTAAGTATAAAAGGCCCTCCCTGGTGGCACAAAGGGTGAAAGCTCACACTTAGGAAGCTATTGGCAGCCACTGCACCATGAATTCAGTCCCCAGCCAGGGAGGTGACCCACATGGCGCAACAGACCTCTCCTGTCCTGTCTGCTGCTCCCCTTAGCAGTATATTTCAGTCAATCTGCCTGTTCTGTTCTCCACTCTGTCTCTGATGAGCCCTCTCACCACTCTCACCTCTGGCCTGCCCCCAGTTCTTGAATGGGAAGCTCTTTTTAAACATTTTACCCATTGATTTATTCTAACAGGACATTTTGGCTTTGTTTTGGATCAAAGTAGCTTATTTGTGCACATTCTGGTTTTATGTTTTGTTTTCTTTGGTGTGTGTGTGCAAAATGATGTTTTTTGCCATCCATTTTATTTCCCCCTTGACACTCACTTTGCCTTTCCTCCTCTGCCCTAAATATCTTTAACATTTGGCACTGTTAACAGTTGTTTCCGGTTAACCCTTGTAAACCTGCTCAGGAGCAGTTTAGTGACTCCAGAGCTCTCCATGTGCCAGTGGGAAGTGGTATCTGGGACACATTTGAACTCACTGTCTTCTCCACACACACACACACACACACACACACACACACACACACACACACACAGTCATTAAGGAAGTCAAGGTGTACCCCAGGACTATCCTGGAGCTCAGGAGAAAGTACTAAATTTGGTTTAGCCAGTTCCCCTGGTTCCCACCCCAATAACTACAGTACCTTTGGTTCATAGCCATTAGCCCTAATATCTTAGTTGTTCTTCCATCTCTCCTGCACAATATTGCTCACTTTAGCTGCTGCCTCTGTCTTTGACCTACTTCTTCTATCCCTCCCCCAAGTCCCAACTTAATTATATTGCGATGAACCTGGTTGCCTCGGCACCTCCCATGTCCTCCTTCTTCCCCAGTGGCTGCCCTCACCATTCTTACCTGACTTTCAACATCCAGGGACAGAATTATAAATTACTTTCAAATGTGTGCTGGCTCCCAGACCCCATGAGATCTGGGAGACCCTTGTCTGCTTTCACCATTTGCTACCATTCTCCTTGGTAGATACCGGCCCTGAGAAGGAGTCAGGAGAGGAGAGGGCAAAAGGAAACCAACTGAACACTTTCTTCTTTCTCTCTCTGCAAATGACTAGTGTGCAGGAGAGTTTTCACACATGTTCACTATATGAACTGTAACTTAACTGATATAAGCCTATTAGGTTAGAAGTTTTATCACCTGAAAGACAAAAGTCTTCCTTACTTTCTAAAGCATTTTCAAAGGAATTTTAAACAATTAAGCAGGTATATTGAAACAAGCTTCCTGCCTTAAAAGGAATGTCAGAAAAAGTGACCATCATAAGAATGACTTTATCCCTTTGTTGTAAGATATGACTTTCATAGGAAGGTTTCAACTTTCATGCATGGTAAGCATTATTACTGATTTTTCGGGTGAGACGAGCAACCATGAAAACTCTTTCACCAAAGGAAGCATATAAAGATTAACACAGAGGGAGAGAGAGAGAGAAAGGTTGGGGGTGGGGAACATGATGAGCTGCCACAGAGGAATGGAGTTTTTCACCTAAGTATTTTTTAAGCCAGACATCTTTAGTTTACATTTTATCAAGTAAGGGAACCTTCTATTTCTTAATTTCTTTTTTTTTTTTTTAAAGATTTATTTATTTGGGCATACAGAACTGGTGTACAGGCCAGAGGCTCGGGGGCGGTGAGAGGCTACACCAGAGACAGAGTGGGGAGCAGAACAGGCAGATCGATGAAGTACACTGCTGAGGGGAGCAGCGGGCGGGTCAGGAGAGGTCTGCCACGCCATGTGGTCACCTCCGGGGCAGGCGGGGATCAAACTCATGCAGAAGTGGCTTTAGCTTCTCAGTGCTGTGCTTTAACCCGCTGCGCCACCAGGGAGGGCCCTATTTCTTAATTTCTTTAGAGCTCACCTGCCCTGGAGACTCAGATGGCCAGAAAGACTTAATGTCCCTCCCCACACCTACTGGAATGTGAGGGTGTTACTGCAAGTATTTATGTTTATCAAGGGCCTTAATACTCCTGAGCACTTGGGAAAAGAATAGTTGACACTTCAGCTTTCTCCATTCAGAGACTAGTTTAATTGTTTCTTGACTTTTACAATTGGTCAGAATATGCCTGCAATTAATTGTCTATTGAAGCAGAAAAGACACTTTTCC